ACACACACCTCCAGCTCACGCCCCGGCCGTAGATCATCGTAGTACAGGCGCATATTTCAGTTGACAGTTCATTTGCCTGCCTTGATTGGCTTGCCGACGAAGGGGGCACACGCATGAGGTAGGAACTGGCACACACGCAGTTGTGCATGCCACAATTTATGACTGCCAACTGGCTGCTGCTGCAACTGCTGCACATTGGTTGCTGCATTTCTAATTAGCATTTACAAACGGCTGCTGCTGGTTTCGAGTGCCCTTCGGGACATGTTGTTGGCTCATTTGAAGCCGAAGTGCTGACAAGCAGCGAGTGCGAGTAGCTAATTTGTCGTTGAAAGGTATTTGCTAAGCGCTTCAGCCGCTTGCAGCCATTTGCCGTGAACTCAAAAGGATTTCAGTGTTTCAAATCCTATGTTTATCAAACTGTTGGCATTGCGTGATTTTACTAAATGACTTTTAATGGCATTTGCCGGCTGCCAGCACACAAATTGCATAGACAATGCAAAAAGCAGCTGATCATCGGTCGCAATTAACCCATCACTTAACATTCTAATGCAAAGAAAAAACGCCAAGATCGAGCTAAGGCAAGACACACTTGCCAGTTGACCACGTTTCTTCACTCCACGCAGCAAATACTTATCCTAGTGCTGCTTTGGGCTAGACACGCGGCCCCATAGCTGAAGCCTCTGCTGTCAGGCGTCATCTGGTCGACAGCGTTGTCTGCATACCAAGGCGGCGCTAATCAGCAGCCTGCGTCTGCAATGCCCTGTGGCTGTGTGACACCTCCGGCCAACGACCGAGTCGCGGTTAGCATATAGTTTTTATGGGCCAGCAGACATGTAAGCTGCCTAATGCCATAACCCCACCCTTCCCGTCTTACTATCGATGACAATCATAGTAGACGAGTCGATATTTAAGCCGTGCACAACCGATGATCAGTGACTGGTTTTGGCCAGGAATGAAGCGCCAACAGGTTTGCAGATCATTGGCCATTTTGCCTCTAATATTTGGTCATGAATTCGCAGTTATGTGAGAAGTGATGATGACTGCTGTGTGACTGTCAATTAAGTGGCCAACATTTGATAGATTCCCATTTCCGAATCCTCCAATATCCCGAAAGTATGTCACTGCATTTGTGTGCCGGCCGGTCTTAATTGGTTGTTCGGTGGGTGATTCTTTCTTTTAACCAGACAATCAATCATTTTAGCATGGCTACTGTTCGTATTGCCATCCACTTTCTTCCTCTAGATAGCACCTGACGAGTCAACTGTACCAACTTGACAGGCGAATCATTTGGCCTGGCCTGTCTTGGCTTAACTTAGGTACAGAGACAGAGACAGAGACAGACGAGTCGACCCTAGCGGCGATTTGGCCAACCGAGAGACCCCTCATTAAAACTACTTAAGTTGCTGCTACTTCAGAGATCTGAACGTCTGTGGGGGACCTTCAGCGTTCGGATTTAATTTGCAACGAGCATGCAACAATTTCATTTTTCAATTTTAACTGTAAAAACCAACACGTTATCCACGACGTTGTAAACAAATCAATTTGCCAAGTAAGGACCACACTAGATTCATGCATGACTTCGACTTGGATTTCAATTAAGCCAATGGGATACCTTAAATCAAATCTACCAACCCCCAGAGATGCTGTACGTAATCTAGAGATGGTACGAAAGGAGATTTTAGATATGTGTACAATGGAAAATAATAAGAAGCGTGTGAGACTCTAAAAGCCAATTTGAGCTACTCAATAAAAATTCCTCCAAGGTGAAAGCTGAATTATCTTCTTAACCAATTGTTAACATAATAGGAACCGTATTAGATTATTCTTTTAGTAGTTCTGAGTTTTCCCAAAAACTTTTAACGAAACCATACCAATTAATTAAGTTGCAGTCGTGTCTTCTTGGCTTTTGAACGAGCACGCAATACGTATTCAGAGCACGGTTTATGTTCATCTCTAACCAAAAACCCCGAACGCACAACTCGCCGGAGCTGCAAGTGAAACCCATAATTAAAAATTTCAACTTTGTCTGAAATTAATTTTGAATACCGCTCTCGCACAGGCGAAGCAGACAGACAAACACTTGACTTGGATGTGGCTGCTTTTGCTTTTGATGACGCGCCGACGCCGCGCAAATTGCCTAGGCACGTCCAAAGGGGCCTCACACATAAGAATCAGAGCTGTTGCAGCTCGGAGAGTGACGCGCGGATTAAGTTGAGCATTCAAATTGAAACTGACAGCCCGGCTCGAGCTCTGGCCAGCAGCTAAGCAGCTGGTACGGAATGTATCCTGCCAACTAGCTGTCCATAAAAGTGCCAGGCCCCATTTGGGAATCTGTTACTTTGTTCGCACGCACTGTAAACTTGTAAAAATAGTGCCAAAGTCATAAAAGTGGCAGCCATAAAGCGCATATCGAGTTATATGGCGGCATAAATTCAACTGTGCTACAGCTCTGATTTAACCTTATCTTATCGAGCACTCTGCTTGGCTGCCCTCTTTGGAGATGGGCCCAACTTCAATGCCAAAATGCTAATAATTAAATGCACATAAAAATCGTGCAAAAAAAACATTTGCGAGCCACTGACTGCTGTTTGAATGATGCATAAAAAAGCGGCGATAATTTAATTAGTTAAAAGTGCTAATAGCCACAAATAAGAGGCGAGTCGAGTACTCGTACTTATGTTTGAGCTTGACTTTGTGTTTGTATTTGTATTTGAATATGAGCTACTGCTGTTTGCATACACTAATTGCCACAAACAACTTGAGTAGGTGTTGGAAGTGGGCTGGTCGGCTGCCGGTTACGCAATCAGGTCAGCTGCGTCACGATTTGCATTCAATTTACCCACTTTGGTGGACGCATCCGCTTAAAAAAAAACAAAAGACTAAGGGCACGAACAACACCAAAGCTTAATATAAAAATTTAAGTTATGTTATGGAGTTCTTCCTTCGGTTTACTTTTCCTAAGAGGCACTTAAAATAAAATACCTTGTATATATGCAACTTAATGACCTTATAGAGTATAGACTATAGGGCAGTAGACGGGATCGGAAATGGCATATCAGTTAAGCTCATCAATAACTAATAATAATTCGCAACCCATAAACTATAAAATTTATCTATGACTTGTTTTACTTACGGATGCAAGCTTAACGGCCCGAGAGATTAAAGCTATCTATAAAAAAGGCAAAATCGGCACAAATAATAGAATCTCTTGCATATGGTATTACACATTTAGAATTACACGGTAAGCGTTAATTATAAGGCATACAATAATAGCGGATTTACATGATGTCATTGCACCAGTCGATGAAATCGAATGCCAAAATTTGACACACACCATTAATAAGCGTATGGATTTATGTTGACTGGAGACAAGTCACCGGCATCGTCTGGCGACACGCAGAGGTTGGAGGACACCCACGCAGGCGTTGATTTTAAGCCGATTTCAAAGCCAGACAAATGTGAGGCTCAGCAAAAGAACAACCATTTGCACGCCCAAGCTTAATATGAAATTCAATATCTTTTTTTTGCCATTAGTGTGCTTCGCTTTAACAAAGTTTCAGTTTGGGTCAGTGTGCGCCAGTCAAGTTCGTTGCTTAAGTCTTTCGTTTTGGCCAACACAAAACTCACCACGAACATGCTCGTGACTACCGCCGCGTTGATCACTGTTGTTGCCAATTGGAAGTGTCAAAACGGTGACGTCACAGCTGTAAACAAAGCTAGCCCGGCAAGTTAAGCCGAGCCGAGCCGCAGCAGCAGCTAACTTCGAAAACCAAAACAAACCGAAGCCGGCCACGTGATTCGCGCCAAACCAAAACTCGTTCCAGCTGTCAGTTGCTGACACTGGAACGCGGGCTTGTTTACAAGCGAGAGACTGAGAGCACGAGCGTTAGTGAGAGAGAGATTCGTCGCTCTCCCACTCACGTGCCGCCTCTGCAATTTGTGCATTTGGTCAAGTTCAAGTGTGGTGGCCACTGGTGAATTTCTCTCTTGCCGGTTTCGTCTAATACCTCTCCGTCTCTTCATCTTCAATGCCAGCGCAAACGTCTCCATCTTTTATAATTGCAGTTTGGTGAGACGCTCGCGCTCAGTCTTGCTGCGCACCTCGTCGTGTAAAGTGGTCGTCGTCGTCGTCTGCCTGACTTCTTTTTCAGTAAGTCAGTTAGCAACAATTGTCAGCTCCTCTACGTCAATTGCTGTCCCGCTCTAGCTGTGGCTTACGTAGTTACGTTCGTTGACCGACCGCCGTCAGCCCGCGTTCGCTTACGTCATTCGCCGCTTACGTCGTCTCTCACTGGGGGTTCGCAACAGCAGCGCCTGCGCAACTTGCCACATTCCGAGTCGCGCTTACTACCGAGCTACAAGTCGCCCACTGTGCGCACCGCAAAAAAAAAAAAAACACTCCAAGAAAATTTGCGAAGTTGTTTTCGTTTGCGTCGGGTTAGCAACAATAAATAAAAAAATTTTAAATTATTTTATATAAATTAAAAACTTGGATACGAGCAATTCCATTTAAATATTAAAATACCGGATTTAACAAATTACAACAGTATTGTTAATGAAATTAAATTAATCTTCCAAAAAGTTCGAGAACTTGACTTGCAACGATTATCGGGTTACTTTAAAAAGGGTTCTGCTGATTGAAAATAAAAAAAATAAAATAAAATGAAAGAAATTTTAATTGATATTTACAATTAGTATATCAAAAGAAACTTTTAATTTGTAAAATTAATTTACAAAAAATAATTTTCATTTTTTGTTTAATTTTCAGTTAATGTTCAATTAAATAAAATAAAATTACTGCTTAATGCTTGAACGTCAAAGATATAGCAATATAGCATTAAGTCTACCTTTGTTTGTTTAAGTTTAATTTAAAAATTAAAAAAAAAAGGAAAAATTCTAATTTACAAAGAAAGTAATTACAACCAGCACTACTTGCAACAAATTACAATTTAGTTTCACTAAATTTTCTTATTATCAACTTAATACCAAAATAAATACTTCTTTATTACAACCAAAATAATTGGTAGATATCAAAACCTATGAGGTTTTATATTATTTGGAATAGTTTAAAGAACGAAATCAGAAGAACCTTTCAGCTTAAGTCCTAAGTCTGTGTGTGCTGTGTTTTATTGACAAATTTAAATGCCGTCAGCAGTTAGCATATTTCGCATTTAACATTGTCGACATAAATACAATTAGCTAAATTGGCAGCAATAAAATTAAAGTGCAACTGCAGCGAGTGGAGACTAAAATACGAATATCGAAATCAAAATAAAAATAAAATAAAAAAAAAAAATCAAAAGGCAACGCCAACGCTGCAAACTGAACAACTTTATAAAGCTAAGCACGAGCCGCCCCGACAATTGGCATGAGTCGGCGGCATCGGCAGCTGTGAGCGTGGGTCTTGGTTGTTGTTGTTGCTGGCATGCTGCCACCTTGGAATAGGCAAAATTAACTAAATTACAACATCAACGAAACGTAGGAGCATCAGCAGCAGTAGCAGCAACTAAAAACGAAGCAGCAGCAAATTTGTTGCACATGCAAATTTATGTGTAAGTGAAGCGGCAGCAAAGTAAAATGCAACAGCAACAGCAACAGCCTCTTGGACCAGGCAAATAATTGTGTTTAAATAAAGCTGTAGCCAAGAATTTCGTCTAGGCCTGGCCAATGGCCACTGGTCAAGTTGCTGTTGTTGTTGTTGTTGTTGCTGCGGCTGCTGTTGCTGTTGCTACTGCTGCATTAAGCCATATCCGGTTCAGCTTCAGGTTCGGAGCACTATGGGCACTGCCTGTCTAAATTTAGCGCTTAATGAAGCTGGTGGTGCTGCTGCTGTTGCTGCGACTGCCGCTGCTGCGTCTGCTAGAGTTGCAGATGCAAATTATTGCAGCGCAAGCAGATCTAGAGTCGCATTCGCTGCCACAAGCCCTTGCGCACTAGTTTGTAATAATTCATAAAAATTGGCAAATTAAACGCCAACACAACAAATGATCCGCGTGGCGACTGCAATTTGTATGCAACGCTGGGGCAACATGCAAAAAAACAAATAATGACCAGCAACTGCTGGGGCATGCAACAGGCAAATGCTACAAAAAACAGTTGGGTTTCTGTTGCACAGTCCCCAGCGATGATAAATGTGCGCCCACTTTGCTTATTTATGGCCACTCAAATTGAATGCAATTGATTTTTTTCGCTCTCCGCTCACTCGTCCATCTTGTACCCGCGTTGGCGTTGCATAACTCCCAACCCTCAACCAACTCTTACAGGCCCTTAAGAAAAACTGCCCGAAACAATTCATAAAGAACTAAACATACATAAGAAAAATACTCGTCCCATTCGTGTGTTTTGTGTCCGTGTATGTGTAAAATGATTTTACACTGAGCACGAGCAATATTTTACTAAAAAATATTATATACAAAGTGTTTCTAAATTGAAACGTTAAGAGAAGAGCTGACATCATTTAAAGCAGACCAACAATTTTTTTGCGGAGACATGAGTTGCAGCAAATTATTGGTAAGTCCAGTATCCAAATATCTTTCTAGTTATTTGTTTTTTATTGTTCGCTAATTAAGTCAACATTTAATATGCATACATTAAAAGTAAAGCCACAAAATTTAAACCGCCCAAATGGCAACCGCAAGCAAGTTGAGTATCTACGAGCATTTGGGTTTCAAGTTGACAATTTATTTATTATTTTCCGTATGTTTAAATTTTAAATTGTTTCGAAGCTGCGGTAAAACATTTTAAGGGGCGGTCTCAAAATTTATTGCTTGGTTGCAAAGAAACTTAATATTAATGTTCATTTAGACTGATTGTTGAAATTATTAACTAATTGACTATTTATGTATTTTTAAATTGACGTATATGAGTTGAAAAATAGTTTTCATTGCTTTGCAAATATGTCAAGTTTTGCTTCAGTTCACTCGTCAAAAGTGACATAAAATGACATTTGTACTTATTTTTTGCAAGATTTTGCTATTGTTTTCTTTCATTTTGGTTGAGGCGATGGTCTGCTCAAATAACTAACTAACTATTTCTAAGCTTTGAATACATTACGTTTTATTTAAAAAAACACAAGAACATACAAATTTTGTAGAATGAAGGAGATATTTCAAACTAAAGATTTCAATTATTCATAATTTACACACAACCATTAAAGTAGATTTTTAAAAATCTCTGGATTTAAACATAATTGTGCGTTAAGTTAAATTTAAATGTTTTCGTTTGAATAGAAAAATTTTAACTAATACAAATATTTTTAATGACAACATACCACATAATTTAAAAAATGTTTTAAATGATTATTCAACTTATGTGCATGCTATACCAAGATATTTCAGCTCATCAGCTGTCAATCAAACAGTCACTCAAATCACTCCGTCTGCCATTTTTTTTCTCTTCTTACAATTTATACGTTTGCTGTCCATTGAAGCAGCACGGTAATATCTACCGCCCCTTGAAGGTCAGCAAAAAAATAAATACCAAAAACAAAAAAAACACTTAAGCGGGCGGCACATGATAAAAAGTAAATTTTAGTTTTAAGTTTCAATTGTGTAGACAATTATTTTCGCATGTTTTTACTTTAGACTCTTTTTTTTTTAACAATGTGAGGAAAAAATTCAGATATTTTTAAGTTTTAGTAACTTGTTATACCATAGCTAGAGCCTTAACTATGATATACCCATCAAAAAATGTATTAATTTGAGAAACGCATGTTTAGATATTGTTATAATTATTTAAAAATATTCAAATTTAAAATATATAACGCAGAATACTTGAACTTAAAATTTGTTCAAGAAATGCCTAAAAAAGTTGATCCAGCAAAAATGAAACGCATTATTATATTATATTATTATGTTCAACGAAAATGCGCCATAATGGTCTGTGAAGACACAACTTAATTGTATATCCACCTTCAACTCAATTTGGATGCCGAACTTTGCAATTTTCGTCCCTCTCTTTTTTAATATATTTAAACAATCCAAAGCTTACATCCCGTAACTAGTCCATTTATTTTGTCAAATAAGTCTGCGGAATTGGCAACACGTTTTTATTTACTTATTACATTTATTTTGTGTTTTTGTTATTTTTGTATTTTTTTTTTCCTATTTGTGCAATTCATTATTTATTTTAGCTCAAAAAAGAAAAACAGAATTAATTGAGCGTTTGTCTTGTTTCAATGAAAACGCAAGAGAACTACAAACAAATTTCGCATTGCCGCCTGAATAGCCACAGCCTTGAGATAAACAACAAACTTTTGTTTAAACAATACACAGCCGCATTCATTATTAATTCCGTATATAAATAAGTTTATATATGTGAATAATATGTATATTGAATAATAGAGGTAAACGTGGCACTTGCACGAACAATCGACCTAATATTGAGTAATTTTCTGATTGGGTCTTAAAAATAAATCTATTACGCAGATGCTGCGAGTTGCTCGTAAATTACAGCAGCTCCTAATTGAATTAAAGTCATTTTGAGGAGGCGCATCCTGCCTCCGTTGGTGTCTCGAGAGAGACATAAATTCCGCCACCTTCGAAGCGCGGGGCTATTTTTGGTGTCCATGTGCCAGGAGGCCAGACGGCTCAGCTCTGGCTGATGCATACAGGACCAGCAATATATTTATTGTAAAGCCCGTTGAACATAATCATTAAGCGCAATTTACCTACAAAGTTTCATGCCGCCAACAACGTTGGCAGAGGGACGGACTGACAGGCAGCCTGTGCAAAATGATTATTACCATACGCCCCGCCAATGGGATTGGGTTCGGAGGCCAGCAGTTGAGCACGAGCGCAACGAAAGACTCAAGACACGAACTTGACTTGCCACAAATACAAAGTGTGGCAAATTTAACTCCACACTTCACATACATAAATAAATAAAGTAAATCAATAAATAAATAAATAAACAACTGCAACTGCTTGATCGTTCGTACAAAGAAGTGAAAGCTGCTGTTGTTTGGGGCTGGGTCCGCCAAGGCATTTGGCATTTACGAAACTCTTTTTCAACTGCATATAACGGACAACTGTCAATAAATAATCAAAATAAGCCAGAGCCAAAACCCAATACGGACAATTGACTATTTTTGGTAACTGGTCGCTTGTAAAAATATACGAATAAGTTCCGCTTAAAGCAATTTCGAGCAGTAAGCATTTCATGAATTTGTGAAATTGTCCAATGATGCAATCGCTGCACAGTCTTTACCGTTACAAAAATGTATTTTATGTGGGTGCCAACAAAATGTTGCTATAGAACTGATATTCCTTGATTTCAGTCGCTTGATATTAACACTGCACGTTTTAAATGTCAGCAAAAAATAAAATTAAATGAAGACAATAAAAAATAAAATGGCTAATGCAAAAGCCAAACGAGTTTCTGGCCAAATAAAATTTGCATATAAGAAAACGCAGTCACCGAAAATTAAATTATATTAAATCACTGTGCACTGCTGAGCGCTGCTAGCCAAGTCGCTTCCAAGTTGCTTGCCTTGAGACCACATATCGCGCTACAGTTCACAGACGTGGCAAAAATACAAGTCAGTACTTGCGTCACAAAACAAAGAGAGCCGCTCACTGGGCATTAGAAGCAGCAACAGGCACACAGCTGACCGCATCTAGTCTAAGCAAGTAAGAATGCTTCGACAACGAGATACCCAGTACACAGAATTGTTGTTGTTACACAATATTTCTAACAGCATGTTTATAGGCACGTCTCTCAAGAATCATGTGCGATGGGATTATAATATTAAATCGATTGGCGAAACATCATGTATGGTCCGAACAGAAACATATACCATTTACTCTCAGAAAAACGAGTAGGTTTAAAAAACTTAGTTGTCTATAGCTGCGTCTCACATATATTCGCACAATTACTTGCCCCTCTTATCTGTTCACAATTGAGCCAAGCATCCATTAAATTACGATCAGAGTCTGTAATAAATGCCATCTATTAGCAACGACCTTAATTATGGGCAACATTTTTGAAATTATGCGAAAGCCAAACAAAAGACTCAGGACACAAACTTGCCACTGTTTATACCAGAGTCAAAGTTTATGACATCTTAATTAGATTAATCGAAACATAAAACAGCTGCTGGGTAGAAATAGACACTTGAATCTCTCACCGGGAGTCCACGGCCACTGGAAGAATATTTATGGTTAGCATAAAATTTAAGTGTTATATAAGTTAGGCGACGGCCGGCTTCAGTTTTCTTATGATATTTAAGCCATTGTAACAGTTGACTATAATGATTAATGCCTATTTGTTGTGAGCCCTTCTCAGCATTCTTTGGGTATGCACGAGTAACGGAAACTAGTTGTATTATTAAACGCAATTACTGTCAATAGGTTTTTAGCCTTCTTTCATTTTGGCCATAATGAATTGCACGAATTTTCGAGCTTGTCGGCGCCCAAAAAACCGCCAAAAGCCAAACCCCAAATGCGAAAGTTCAAAGACACGCACCAGACAAGCTGAGGGGGAGTTGCGTGTGTGCCTGAGGGGGGTTGCCATTCGTTTTGCCATTAAGAAAATTTATTTACGTCTGTGTCTTATTTTTTTCCCGAAAGCTCTTAATAGGATTTTTATTTAACATATGTTTTCTTCCTCTCCTCTTTATTTGCTGCCCCGAGACGTGCCTCGAAAGCTTGAGGCTTCATTGATGCGTGCTGATATTATTGATGATGTCATATCGCTTTGAAGGGGCGCTGTGATTGGTTGTGCCTTTCGATGACTACAAATATTTAAAGTGACATTAAATTTGGGATGTGGGAAAAGAGGCAAAAAGAAACCTTTTGCTAATCAATGTAAAGCCTAATGAAGATCGTCAGAGCAGAATTTACTATCTTTAGGCTAACTCTTAGCTTTTTAACAACATTTTTATAACCTTTGACAAAGTTTGTGCGCTCTCTTAGCACCCTTATATGCCTATAAAAGCAGGCACATAAAAAACCCATTTGATTTTTAAGTCAATTCAATGACTATTAAATTCGAAGTGGCGCTCTAAATAAATGGCAATCTCTGCAGAAAAAAAACAAAATTAAATAGAATATGTAAATACTTTAGCATTTTTACAGCTTGTACTTCAAAGTTGTATTAAGTTTTTTTTGTACAATATTTTTTCCAATTAATTATATATTTGCCGGGAAGGACTAAGAGTGTTCCGATGCAAGTACTTATCGCATAAGTCTTATTTGGAATGGTTTCACGTTTGGTCAAGAACAGGGATCGATATATAAACTTGAGTACATATATAATACTCATATAATAAATAAATAATTGCAAGCTTAACTTAATTTATTCAGATAAGGATGAAAAAATTGACTTACACAAATTCAGATCTTTTAGAAGATGCAAAGATAATTTTCATTAAATAACTGAAATAATTTTGAGCAGATTCATTTTTTTAGGAAACTGACCGTTATCTTCATATATTTCGCAATATTAAGAACCTGAAATTATATATGTGTATGAGTCAGTATTGTGAAATAGAAAACAATTTAAGATAAAAT